ACACATATTGCAAGTAATACAGAATATCCTGACACTAAGCTAGAGAAGATAACAATTGTGGCTGACTTCAGACATGAGATATCATTTCAGTGGCCTGGAACAGGTCCTGAGGGTGGCAGAATAATCCTGAGGGGATAAGAATGTGAAGAGACATGTGGATAAGCCATAAACAGAGCTAACCAGTGTCAGATTGCATAAAAACAGAAGGCAGTCTCAATCCAGAGCAGAATATGCCTATCAGACTATGACATGCATGTGAATGACTTATGAGAGACTCCATAATGGAGTCCTGCATGTTGAAATTACTATATTAGATGTATCTTAGTAAGTATAGTAGTAGCCTATTTAAATACAGCATTGTAAAAGTAGTAGACAAGTTTCCAATCCCTCACAGTTGCAGTGTATGGAGCATGAAGACCTTGCACTCCAGCTCTGGGTTTGTGTTTGTAACTTTGGATGAGAGAATAGATCTATTGTTGATATCATTAAGAGAGATCTGAGAACTGTGAGAGGCATAAAAGCTTGCATGGAACTCTAATTTAATTTAATAAGCGGTTTTGAATTGCACTCTAGCCTGAGAATAAGAGAGCAGTGTCTGATTATATGCATTGTATCAGGCTAGCTCTAAAATTCGCAAATTTTAAACTATATGTTTGCATAAGCTGAAGTCTATATGACTAGCCATTCAAGAGCTATAGCTGAGGCTTTGAGCTGATAGCCATGCTATGCTAAGAAGGCTAAGAATCAAAGTGGACTTAGCCAAAACAACTTTGCACTGGGTTAATAATCTTGAAGTCAAAATTGGACTGAGAGGAATAAATACCACTATGATAAAATGCCAGGTCAATATAGATTTAGAAACAGTATCATGTTTAGGCTAATTCTAAATACCATCAGAGCTGGTATACCATATTTTAGCTCAGGAATTTATTACTATGACTAGCAGTGAATTACAAGATCCAGCTAGCATTCAAACCAGAAGTAAAAGCAAAGCAGAACTCATTAGTCTATAGCGAATACACTGGGTCTGATGGAAAATACATATGATGAGAACTCCTTGGGCATAAATAATCAAAAGGGCACATAGTTCAGGGAATGAGCCACAATCAGAGAGCTCAGCTGTTCTGGATCACCATGATTGATCAATCATGATTAACAGCAAGTCTGGAAGTGGAACTATGGGATGATCAATTATATAGTAAACATTCATAGACTATAGAAATAAAGTACTGAAGGAGTCCTGGAACACCTGAAAAGGATATATGAGGTGTGCCAAGACAGGATAATGACCTAATTTTGGGGTTAGCCAAGTAAAATGAGTAACCACACTAAATTATTTATAGATTCTATATCAGTTAGTTATGTATAAAAGCAGAACAAGGGGGAATCATGCAGCAGGTGATCCACTCCTATGATTTAGGCATTCTAGCTCTCAGTAGTTAGTCTCTGTACCAGCAGTTTTGTGTGTAAGCTCAACTTGGATAGTTATTGTTACTAAGTCACCTGTATTGAATAAGAGTTGAAGTCTTTACTGGACTTTGGGTTTTCACATAATTTAGATTCTGGCTTAATAAGAGTTTCAGCATCTGAGTATCAGTTCTCTAGTTTCAAGAACTGCTAGCTAGCCACAGGTGCAGCTAGCCAAGTTTTAGCACTTGAGAGATATATTATTGGGTTTTGATGTTTATTGGATTTCAGAGTTTTCTAAGTTAAGCTGAGCATCATAGCTTCACATTTTAAGTCTCAATTCACATACCATATCTTATTCCTACCACTCTTGCAAGTATTGTATTTTAGGATATAAACTAGCCTTGAATAAACTACCTTTATATCTTCATATTTGATTTATCTGAGTCTGCAGAGTGCTTCTATCATACTCAAATCACCCTAACTCACCTGTATTGGTGATTGTGCATTGATTGGTTAGGTGTTGGTGATTGAGAGTTCATTACTCATTTGCATCTATTAGTCACTTAGCCATTTCTCAGCATATCACTGAAGGGCACTATTTTGAGTTTTCAAGGTATTTGTGATGTGAGGCACTACAGGTGGCAGAGGTTTGAACCCTTTGGCACTTGTAGATGTGTGTTTTAGGGATTTTGAGTTGATCTGAGCAGTACTTGGGACTATTTGAGAGTTTTGTGGGTGTGTTTTGAAGTATTGTATTGAACAACAATACTCTTTGCCTTAAGGCTTGGCAACATTCATTTTCACCTCTTGTTTTTAAAAGAAAAGCTTTAAGACTTAGAGAGATCTAGGATTGTTATACACATGCTATTGCTATTTGTGCATAGTGGACTATGTAAGAAGACAATTACATTTGCTACAGCTACCCTTATCATATTACAATCCTCCAATGAACTAAGAAGTATTATGTGTGTTAGTGTGGGTGTGATTAGCAAATAGCACTCTGCTGCATCAGTTTTCATCTTGCACATATGCAAAACCTCTTCAGCAGATACATTCATAGTCCAACTATTTTCTCTAAACTGAATGTATGATATCTCAATAGAGATCAATAGGAAAGATGAAGCTGTCACCTTATTTCCAGGGCTCTTCTGAGCAATTGAGGATGATTGTCTTGAAGAGGGTGTAATGTCATCATTTTAGCCCCTAAATCCTGCTCAGTCATGGCTTGGTTTGAGATCACTAAGACTTTTCTATATAGTATTTAAGTCAGTAGTATACAGAGATATACTCTAGTCTCAAGCACTGCTGGGGCTGGTAGGTTTTTAGCATGGAAAAAGAAGGTCTAAAAATGTTGCAACTTTTTCAGACATTTATGTATGAGTAAAATAGATTCTATAAAATGAGAAGGAAAAGTATCTATTTTTAGTTATATTTTAGGGCAAGTAGATGAATATATTTTTGGGATATTTTCTAGATAGGAGGAGAGACAATAAAAGATATCTATTTCAAGCCATATTGCACCCACAAATAAAAGTGCAGTTACAGCTTGCAAAAGAATAGCTTTTCACAAGCAATTTTGGGTCTGAAAAAAGAAGGATAATAAAATTTGTTGAAAAAGAAATTCTTTTTTATCATATCCTCTTTATGTAAAAACTGGAGGTTTCCAGGTAAGAAAAATGTAATGTAAAAGAAGTCAAATTTCATTGTATCTTACAGATGATAAAAAAAATCATGCACTGAGAGACTCTCTCAGTGTGCATGCAGGATATTTCTACAGATAGAGATGGGATGTAGTCACCAATACCACCATTGGTCAGAGGTGTATCCTCTCTGTAGTGTGACAGTTCAATTCTATTGAATTGCAATACCAGAGATCTGTCAGCTCTTTTTATGAGCTTCTTCTTTGTGTTATAGTCATCCACTGAGGTGTATGAATAATCATTTGGAGGAGGCTCCACAAATAAGGGACAATTTTGGAGCTTCTCTCTGTCTGTAGCTTGCACTAATTCGAAGTTTTCTTATCCTGTTATCAATATAGATCAAGATGTACCAATACCAGCTGTCCATAGTTCAATTCAGTGAGTCATCTGGTAAGCTTGAAGGATTAAGTATGATTACCTTTTTCAATCTCATCTGGATGAACAATGACTCTCTGATTAGACAAAGGGTTTTCCCCTTGAACCATAAGTCATCGACAGGAGAGTTACAGGGTATGAGAGGAACTTTCTCTTGAACATTGTGGTAAATGGAACAGAATGCAAATTTCTTATTATGGATGTGAGCCTTCATTTTTCTCCAAGTTTCTAACAAAGAAGGTGAAAATCTGGACCAGGAGAAGATGTGCCTCTGAAAAACACCCGCTTGGACTGATAGACTTCGGAACTCGATACCTGATATCCAATTGATTGGTATTTATGGACTGCTCCTAAATGTATCTGTCCAGCCGGAGTGAAACCGGAAATTCCGTTGACAAAACCAATGTCTTTGATCTATTCTGCTATGACTCGAATTGCCCTCCTGCAGCTGCCCTCAAACTATTGTTCCTGTTTCCAAAAAAAAGAATGTCAAGTGAAATAAACTGGTTGGATCATTAATAATTGCCATGATACAGATTCGAACTGTCAACTGAGTGGTAAATTCAGAGACAATCTACCATTTATCCATGTAGCATGGAGGTTTTTTTAGGCTCTATTATAGTATAGAAGAATTGCTCTAAGCATCCGAGATATCCATGTTTTACCCTTCCATTCTTTTATGCTATTTAAAGGCGTTCGAAACAGGAATTAATCCATGTCTCATGCGCTCATTTAAAAATATGGTCCCATGATTTAATGCTTTGACTGTGGACAGAATTTCGCCTCTATCTTGTTGAATTACACGCATGTGTCGTCTTGTCGCATGACACCTTGCCTGTCGGACCTGATTCACCAATGGTATCTTCCGATGCTCTCCTGGAGGGAGAGTACAGCTGCTATTTCCTGGAAAGAACGCTGTCTATGTCATTGCAGAACGGTTTACTTAGACGTTCAATACGCCGCCTAACAGCTAGAGATTCGTTCTCTCGAGATCCGAGACCCGTCATGTGAAGCAGGTCGGAAGAAAGGGACTGGCGGAGGAGCAGAGACGCTATGTACGTGTTTCCTATGACCTGCGAGTTGTGGCGCAAGCGCCGAGTTGCTCATATTCAATATCAGCATTCAGTGCCACCATTATCGCCACCGGTAATTCAGTCGGTGTTCTTTCGTTCTCGTGAGGAAATTACCTGTGGTTGTACCCAAGATCGTAAGAAGAAGTTTGTATACTAAGGACTTGCAGAAAGGATTCGTATAACCTCATAAATGATTCTTTCAAAATGTGGATGCAGACGGTAGCGTCACAAGATCTCAGCCTTATTTGTCTCCGGAAATAAACAAGATGTGGGGCTATCATCACTAACAGAAAATATGATCCATCCGTAGCATGTCAGCGGGTCGAATCTCGTGGGGACTATGTATATCCTTACCCCATCTTATTGCTTGTAAACCGTCTCCTTGAAGGTACATAAATCGAACTGAAAAGTCCCAAATACTCATATCTCACGTTAACCCACCATGGACTCATATCCAGTGCGTGAACCCACTTCATCATAGCTTCACCACTATATATATCCTCTTGCTAGATCGGCTCTCGTGTTTTCTTCTACGACGCGGCTGGATGTCTTGTAGGAGGGGTCGTAGAATCGACGACTCGTATGGGAAATGTCCGTGACCCCTATCTCTCTCTCGGACGTTCTTCCAAGCTGAGACTCTATAGGGCACGCAAATAGTTCGTATCAAGTGCGATGATGGAAGTAATTTGACGTTACCGTGAGCAGTATCGGACTTTTGTTATCGGTGCTGACCGTACTTGTAGGGCTGCAGGTGTCTCTCGAGGATAGCGGTGGGAAGGAAACCCTTCCTACGTACGCTGATTTTTGTATTCGAAAGTTGGTTATTTTGGATCATGTACAGAAGAATATTTGTAGTAAAATTACCGCACTTGTGTTGTAGAATCAAAGTGAAGTAGTCCAAGGTGTGGATAGGAAGACCTACCGATATGGTCGCTGCTCATTGAAATCTTCGTACTATCATCTTCTCATCAGAAGGTTGCACAATCATCACCGTGGCGACCAGGCGAAAGGGTTATGGTTTCGAAGTGTTATATGCACTACGTCATTGTACTCTTGAATTCCAAGCACTCGTGAGCCCCTCGCCTGCTGTCATACCTCCTTCTTGTCGTTGCTGAAACGATCCACTCCTTAACAGTGAAAACTCTAGTTTCATTTCCGTACTTAGTCTTGACTTACGCTCCTCACTTCCTCGGACTTTAGAGCAGTATTTATACCACGTACCTCGTGGTTAGTGCCTCAGCTGCTGTTCTCATGTAGACAGATAAGGATGAGGTGCGCATCTTCTCTATTCCTCTCATCGGACACTTTACTTCTAGTTAGCGACGAGCGTATTCTTACAAGTATAACATATTAACTTTTACTCCAATATGGACAGAGAACGCTGAGCCTCTCGGGCATTCTTACATATACTCCACTATCTATGCGTCAATGGGTTCGAAGGGATAATGGATGCAGTAGAGCAGTATTAATACTAAGAGGATATTTTGAATAGTTTTTGAGTTAGCTAGGGATGCAGCGCTATGGGATCGGTGATCACGAATAGTTATTTCCCCTCTTAAGATCACGTTTTGAATAAAATATTCGGCGCCTCTCTCTTCGAGAACAAAGGTGTCCAAATTGAAGAACAAAAAACCGACATACGGCACGTACTAATCTGTGCCAAGAGCTGTCAAAAGGTCTCGACATCGAGCGTGCGCATCATTCGTCGAATCGCTACCTTAATACAGGCCAAAATGAATGGGACGTGTTTTTGAGTGAGGTCTATGGCGTTCCTGGATAGTTTATACTTCACCGGATATTTCGACGCAACAGTCACGTGGGTCGTCCTCAGCGGAGGGTGGAGCGATTGATCTACGTTAATTGTGATGGGGAAGTTTACATCTCCTCGTGGATTTGTATCAATAGCCAGTTTTGCATCTCTGCTTCATAATCACTGGCCTAATTCTGCCATTCCAAAGGAGACGATTCGTTTACTTAGTTCCGGACGTTTTCTGGTCATAGGTATATGAAGAATGACATCTTGGATGACGGATAGGTGGTAAACTCATTGGGAAGCGAGAATACCCAGGTCGCCGATGCGGGTTGATGATGGCTGAAGCGGCCTTCACCTCTATTTCGGACATATCCTTTCACGTTCCCTTGTATCCTGTGAACGTACTCCTGATGACAGCCAATTCCATCTACCCCCCAAGGTGTAGAGCATGTATATTAGGAGGAAGACAGTCCCGGTTTGTTCCCTTTGATTTGTGTTCGGTACCGGTCAGAGGATGAAAGAGTTGCACAGGTTTGTACCACAAACGTCTTCTGGAGTGTTTAATCTGATTATTTTCATAGATACCGACCACCTCTGCGTTCGGGGAGGAGGTGACTCTGGGACGGGCATAGATGGCGGGATGAAGTAATTTTGTCGGAAAGAACGTGGCCCCACCGCCTACGCACCAGCAACGTCTTTCGCCCATTTCTCTTTTTGAGTACGAGGGCCATGCTCTCGTCGAGCTATTGATCTTCCCTGCCATTCCCAACAGCGTCTCCATTCTCCGAAAAGGAAGCTTTTGTGACTTCTACTTCATAGCTATGTTCAAGGGAGGGGGATCGTACTTTTGGTTATAGGATGAAGGATCATAGAGTGGTAGAAGCTGGAAGATGGAATAATAGAAGGGAGGTTGACGTCGAACTGGTGTGATAGTTCTCTCCACGACGGATAGCGAGACGCTTTTGAATGTGTCTCTTCTCGGACCGTACTGTCAAGTCTCCTTTCCCGGAACGTGTATTCCATCCGCTTATTCTTAAGCATAAGCCCAAATACGTTTTGTTGCGGCAGGTTTCTTTGCCAGCTTTGGTCGTTTATATAACTCACAAGTCAGAGAGTGCGGATAGGACGTATCGACATATTGGTGATTCATTGAGACTAGGGGCCACTGTTCAACCCCCAGAGTATTTTCTCTCTATCTCCATGACAACATTCTGCCGAATGTCATTCGTCTAGGAATACGTCTGCGTGTATGCGTTCGACGTGCCTTGGATTTGATCATCTATATGAATGCGAGGTTCCGTCTGACATAGAAAGGCCACCGGCATATTACCGTTGAGAAGCTCTCTTCTGCATTGATGTCGTACGGAGGAGGACTTGACTATCATTCGAGGCTTTCGAATATGAAATACGGTATTTCCTCCGCAGACCTTGAGTAGTACACATTCATTCAGGAGTAGCAGCTTCTCTTCTCGGCCTGAAGTGCAGATCATTGACACCGGAGACTATTGTTACTACCAAGAGAACAGGCTTTCGATAATGATCTTCAGTTTTATACGATTCCGGTTCTCCTCGACACCGTCCGGACAGGTCAAGCTACTATCGATCTCCATTGCGGGTGTGTTTACGCTGGATGGATGAAAATATGCTCCTTTGTACGGCACCCATCCTAGTCTTATAAACGCTGCGTTTCTGGCATAGATATAACCATTAACTGTCGAAGAAGATTCTCGGGCGGTATCAAAGGGTCCGATCGATCTTTCCTTCTCGTCTCACGCTCATGACTACCCTGGAATAGGTACACCTATGACACACTTCTCCCGTGAGCGTAGGGCTCGAGAGTGTGTGGTACGTGTACGTTATTCTTTCTCTTTGTTATCAAATGAAGAGCTGACCCTTTGTCACAAGATATTTTGTCCGATTTACCTCACGAGCTCTCACTATCGAGGCCACTATGAGCTTTGAACCCTGCCAAGTCTTGACAAAGAGGAATCCTTGGCAGCCAGGATTGCTTAGGGTCCTTCTTCCATATCCACATAATTGGCTGTCACGAAACCAGCATTATAGACGATGTATTGGAATCATATCGCTAGGTCCAAGAGAGGGAATCTGGAATGGCTAGTGATAATCTCAGTTGTAGCTATGGACAAACGGGAATCTACGGCAATGCAACACGTGATCTCGGAGGAACCTGACCATGCCAATGCCCTCATTCACTAACCCCTACATCCTCCACATACACAATCTCCTCATTGGAATTGAGGTACTGGTGGTTCAGAGGGAGACGTGGGTATATTTCATTGTATAGAGTAAGGATAGTGGTGGTTCCGAGTCAAGCCAATAGGTATGAAAATGTCAAAGTATAAGGTAAGCAGTAATATATATATAAATAGAATACAATATTAAAGCCGTGAAAACCGAATCTCAACACTCCTCACCTTGAACTGCGGATCTATATTACACGGGTCTCGCAGAGCCCGGACATCTATATCTCCTCACACGTGCTTTACCAAATCTGCCAAACTCGTGTTAAGCTCCCTTGGCTGGTCGTACACCTCACGAAACTCGATGTTCTGTACGCATGCCCAGAGAGACCCGGTGTGCGAAGCTTTGTGGAAGATTGGACGATGACTGGGCAAAAAACGTGCTTTGTCGGTGACAAGGTGGATAAGAGCGAGACCGTGACGGAGAGTGGTGCTTGGAAGCTGGCGTTTGTGACTCCATCAGGTCTCGTACGCCTGAATGTTCTATTAAGGTTTTCCTATGGACTCGGCTGCTTGGAGAGAAGTCCCAAATGTCATTGTGAGTATTTTTCTTGGCATATAACGCTTCCAAGTAACCGCGGTCAAAAGTACAGGTCTCTGGTTCTCAGAATACACTTCATAGAAAGATGAGACTAAAGCGACACCACTTCATTGTGATGATATCGTCAATAAGGCCAATCAAGGGAGAAACAGAGATATACGTGGTAGGATGCTCTGCGACTCTCTTCTACAGAAAAATGAAACAGAAGACAAAGGCCATGACACGGAGTCGAACCGTGGTTTTCTCATGCCACTAAATGCCTTGTCATATGTGAGAGACGATCTACTGTTGATCTATCATGGCGTGCATTTAACATGAATTCGTACTGTCCTTCTTGGTTCTTACTCACAATCCTAACGGCCAGTGATGGGCGTTTTAATACCGCGTCGGGGCTGAAAATGGTCCTCCAGCCTCTGGGAATTATCCAGTTATAAGCTCGAGTCAAACAGGGCACTGAGTGAATTATGACAAAGAAGGACTATCTGCTCCGTTAATAGGTATGGGGAAGACAGATGAATCGTGAATCAAGCAGAACAAAGTGACAACAATTACTAAGGTGACTGTTTGTCCTCCTCTGTTGCAACTAACGCTTAATCTACATTGGGTCTTAACTCGAGGCTTAAGCTTAGTCCACTCACTCGCTGATCAGAAAACAAGCAAACAACTGCTGCCATTTTTCAGTCAGTCTTCTGTATTCACTATATCCCATCAACAAACTACTCTGTTGCATATGATGATATTTGAATGTTACACTGCTTAGCATTGAGTGCTCATCTCATAACATGTTCTTACCTCAGTGCCTCAATGACAGTTGATTATCAGTCTCACAGACAACTGATGGGATTGTGTGTTTGTCCCTCAAGTTGAGCCAATATATTGAGTGCCTATGCTTTCCATCCTCTTTGTATAGTTACCTGACGCCTCTTAGATTAGTACCACACAACATCCTCTTGAGTAACCTCAGGAGAATAAGAAGTGAAGATGCCATTCCCTATTTTTTTGTGAGTTGGTTCTCACTATGTTATTATTTAGATGCTAAAATTTCAGGGTGGTAGATCATACTTTAAGTTCATTATTTGCACAGCTTTCTTTCTGACATCTATGGAGGGACTGTCACCATTGGGATACCTATAATAGTATTCTGCTATTGTGAAATAAATGTTCCAGTATATGTATATATTTCCAATGAAGAAATGTAGCCCTTCTGTGCCCTAGACAAGAAGAAAACATACCCTCAGAAATGGAAAATCTATTTAAAAGATTCATAGTGAAGTGAATTTTTCTCTCTTGCCAATAAGCATTCATTCATCATTTCCTGATACTATACTCTCTTGATGTCAAATATCACTGTGTATGAGCATACTGTGAGTCCTTCAGTGTATCAGAGATACTGAGGGTAGGCACTGTATAATGAATTCTTTACAGCTGTATTTATATGATTGTTATAATAATCCTTCAAATACACCAGGATTCCTGTTTAATTTCACATAGAGTGAGTCAACATGATGAAATATCACTTTTTACTGATGTTACTTATCTCAGTGAAGTCACACTTACTGGATATGGGGTCTGTAAATAGTATTGAGTATGGGGACATTATTATATACAGCTTATAGCTGTAACTATATATGGTACAGTGGCAGTTTCTTAGTATATGTTAGAAACAATCAACTATTACTCTATCATAACATACATTTAAGCCATTCTTCTTGCTTCTTACTGAGAGATACTGTGTGAATATCTCAATTTGAATACAATATATATGCCTCTGAACCTTTTAAGAGACTGAATACATTCAATGACATTCTGTTAGGCTCAAGCCACACATGATCAACTTAACACATGATAAACTAATGTGGCTTTGCATTCAAGCCTTCCATCAGAGTTCACTTTATGTGTTGTTGGTTGATTCCCTGTGCTTCAAGGCATTGTGTGATTAGTATGAGAGTAGAATGAGGATGTATAAACTTTAGCTCGAAGCTGGGGTTTCACCAATGAGAGCAGGCTCCTTAAATACTATACAAGGTCTGCTAATAATACTGTGTACTTATTATGTGTCTCTCTGTCTTTTGTGCTCATTGTCCTGGAGCATTGTTACTGTACATAAAAGGCTGATTGCATCATCGGGCAATGCTGTTGCATCGAAAGACAATGACGGACTTGGCCAGTTGTGATGACTAAGCCTTTGTCCCACGATCTTTAAGCGCCTGGTCTGGTGCCCTGACTAAGCATAAATAGGGGTTAAAAGAAAAGAAAAGGAGTAAGAAATTGTAACACATTCCTCTTTCTAAGGTCAGTGGAAGAACTTTTTGATTGTAAATCAACTATATATTTCACCTCAGGATGGCAGACCTGGCTCTGGTGGTTGCTTGGAACCATGATAGTTGAACTCTGTCTATTCCTATCCTATTACTGAATTCACTCTATTTTTTATGCTATTAAGGAGGTGTTGAAAGCCAATGTATTATATATTCGAACACTTACAAAGTCTGAAAGAAATAGATTAAAACTTGGTAACAACATTGAGGACAGAATAGTTAAAAAAGAGCCCTGGCTGGCATCCATCTAAACAACAATGAGGATAATTATTTTGATGTTCTAATGGCTTATATCTTGTTCTCAGCATAAAAACTCTTATCAGAGCATTTGGTGATTTAGTAACAAGGTTTCATTAAGTCAATACATAAGCAACACATCTGACTTTAAACTATGTGGTATACATCTAGCTTCTGTTTTGAAAAACTCATCTTTTCCTTCTTCTATGAGCTCACCTACATTGATTGTCTATAACACTCTTCCAGGTGGTCAAGTGTATCACCATAGATATCATTATGCACTTTTTCATTGCCTAGAGATAGAGAATTCGATGTAGAAGAGAAAAGCTCTAGTTGTATGCTTTTAGAGAAAGAGAGAGTTACAAGGTAGCTATTTTCAAGATCCTTTGGTTGTGAGTTAAATCTTTAGCTCTAGAATATGACACCTGATGTTGAATGGCATTTATAACTTACAATGACTCATGAAGCAGTCCTTCTTTTCCTCTCACTTTGACAGGAATAGATGTACACTATTGCCCTATTACTGTATTATGCAAAGTCTGTGATAAAGAGTAATGCTATGCCAGATATATAAACTTGCTAAGATATTACTCATGATACCTCCAAACCAGAATCTAATTATGTTCCACACAGATAGCTGCCCTGCTTCCTTCTGAAAATGATTCCTTTCCATGTGACCAGCAGGTGATAATGGGATCAAAGAGATGAGCAATATGCAAAGATGGCTTCAATTTCTCTTAAAACTGGGTAGGACTTGTTATATGTGTATCAAGACCTCCAGGAGAATGAACCTATGCAAATGTTTGCCTGTTATTTGCTCCACATATAGAAAATCTCATAGAGTGTCAGGTGACAACCAAACAATCACAAATACAATGCAATGCAACCACTGGGATCTGACACTAACTGAAAGTAAAGCAGAAGGATGAAGATGAGGATGTATAGGATGATGAGAAGGGAAAAGAGGTATAGAGGTTGATAGACTATGACTGGCAATGTTGGTACTGAAGTGGTAGTCACACCAAGAGTTTAGGAGTTTGATCAGTATATTGACCTTAGCTTGGGACTAAAGTATATCACTGTATACTACTGACTTAAATACTACATAGAAAAGTCTTGGTGATCTCAAATCAAGCCATTGCCTTGCTGCCTCAAACCAACTACTCATTGTCTAATGACAACACCTCTGATCCAATAGCTGTCTCAAATGAAGCCTTGGCTGCACATGATTTAGAGGCTAAAATCATGACACAGACTTCTGTCATTTGTTAATCTGTTTGTTCTCTGACATGATAGTGAGGAATTTTGATTTCATTGGTGTGTTTAATGATAGAATTAGCATCTCTCTGCATATTAGAATATATGCTGCAATAGATGAGAATGATAGAGTCTTCTATTATATCTTCAATCTGTGAGGTATGAGATAGACATCAAGTCTTTCTCAGCCACATAACTGTGCTAAAGCTCCTGAACAGTGTAGAAATATGACTGTGTACCTCTCTGCCTAAAGGTCCAGACTGTATTCACATGTTATGAAAGGGTTTTTTGCAGTCAATATTTGTCAGTGGCAGCTGATTTGTCTTTCTGGACCCAAAAGTCATTTTTACATCACAGATAAGAGTGAGGGTAATATCAGGCTATCTTTATACTTTGAGGGACAAATAAAGAGGATATCTATAGTGAATCAATTCTCTAGATCCATGGCATGATAATGGACATATTTTGTTAGAATCATGTTGCAATGTTCCAAGAGGGAGATTTTCAACATTAAATCTAGCATGTATGGATGATACTTTCCATGTTATTTTTGGAATAATTGTTCAGTTGTGGGTTGGCCTAGTGGCAATTAGCACTACTCATGGTTTGACTTTGTGATATAGTCATAGCCTGAATGTAGTGTCCTGTTCACCATTTTATCATACATTCCTGTATTCTTTGATGTCTTATGCATGTTTAGATACATGGATTGATGATATCTGTAGTGTATTTCTCACATGACTATATTCTTTGCTAAGTGATATTATTTTCACACATCTTGGAACATAAGGCACAGGCCATGCAACTCTTGACACCACTCTTTTAACATTGGTATTGATCTTGCTTCCTTCATTTCACCAAATGAGGTAATGAAGAAACCACTGTAATACTTCTATGGCCTGATGGTATTAGTAGCTTTCTGTCCCACATTATTTATTGATATACAAGTATTTTACTTCAGAGATCACATTGCAGTCAGCAAAATAACATAGAATGAGGGCTCCATTTTGTATAGTCAATTAATTTTGTTTTTGTGGGCTGGATCACTCTTGGTGCTTCTAGAGAACTCAATCCTCATAGAGATGGGAACAGTAAGTTTTTCTGGTCTTTAATGGATGTGTGAGACTGTGGATTTGCATGGCCTGTGGCTTACACTCCAGGATGTATGAAAATAATATCATTGAGCAAAGAATATACTCATGTGGGAAAGACATTACAGATATCACCGATCCATGTATCTAAACATGCATAAGACATCAAAGAACACAGGAATGTATGATAAAATGGTAAAAAAATGCTACATTCAAGTTATGGCCACATCACGGAGTCGAACCGTGAGCACCGCTAATTACCAAAAGGTCAATCCACAACCGAACGATTATCCCGAAAGTCACAGTGTGACACTGAAAATGTCATCCAAACGTGCAGTGTCGGAGAGGGAGATAGGATGAAGCTCTGTAGCACCAATTTGTGATGTCCGGGCTGGATCGAGCTGAATTTCTCCTGTTTAATAGATAAAGATCAGGAAACACCGCCTCGTCAGATTTGGCTGTGAAGGCTGAAAGCAAAGAGAACCGCTCCAAATCGGCCCGGCTACCGACGTAGAGCAAACAAAACACATCTTTCTCTCCGACTACCACCACCAGAACCAAGGCGTCTTTCCCTCTTCTATCGTCGAAGTAACTTATCTCATCACCTACGCAATGACCGCATATGTGACTGTCGAAGCATACTAGAAAGTGCGCGCCTCGACTTTGGTTCATGTCATCGAGTTTCAGGCGGTATCAAAGGGTCCGACCGACCTTCCCTTCTCGTTCACTCTCCTGACTACCCTGGAATGGATACACCTAGAACACGCGTCTCAGATGAGCATAGTGCCCGACGTGTCTAGTTGACTGAGTTACCTCACAAACGGTGCAGTGTCGAACAGAAAGAAGTACTTTTGAAGACTCTTCTTCGCGTCTAGGCTCTCGTTTCTGTCCGCGCTGACTAGTGGGTATATAGCCACTCGGATGAACTTTGCATGATGTCCACTTCAACCGTCCGTGGCATCTTGGAAAGTAGCTCTTTCTCAAGAACGTCTTCAGTCCGTGGTTCCTTTGCATCACATCGACACTCTGATGCGATGCGATGCCTCCCGCCGTTTCGCTTTATGGATACGGCTCAGGGTGAACTGAGAGCTATTTATTATCCTACCCACAATCTCCTCCCTGCGAGAACGCCCACTAAGAAACGTTATCACCATTTTCAGAGAGAATATGGTCTCTGCGTTATTCTTTCTCTTTTTTTAACCAAACGAATAGCTGACCCTGTTATCACCGCGATGTTTTGTTCGGTTTACCTCAGGAGCCCTCGCGATTTGTACCAGTGAGGCCCTACGAGGTTTGAACCCTACCTGGTCTTAAAGAAGGGGAGTACTTGACAGCCGAGATCGCATATGGTAGCCCAGCGTACGTCCATCTTTACTCGCATGACCATGGCGCTAAAGCATAAATATAGGATTATTTCTTGGTCTCGATCCTCGCATTCATATTCTCGTTGAACTCCTACATCTATACCTCCTCACAAGCGTCTAGGAACTGGGCGAGGGGCTTGGTGGGATACGGGGATAGCTCTGCAAGAAAAGGTGGATGAGAGCGGTATTGACAAGTTGGGGTCCGAGTCCTTTAGTATATATCTTGCTTGAGGTTCTATTGTCATGTGACGCTTCCAAGCATTCGCATGCCTCTGTTTCCCAGAATCTCTCCATAAAGAAACGAGACTGCTGCCACACGATTTCGTTGAGATGGCCAATTAAGAGAGGGACAAAGATATCAGTGGCAGCAACTCTTCTATAGACAAACAAAATACAGGTGTCAAGAAGTGAAAGGTCATGACACGGAGTCGAACCGTAGTTTTCTCATTAACCTCGAGTACTTGTAATATTGTGAAGACGATCTACCGTTGATCTACCATGGCGTTCATTGAATATGAATTATTGCCGTTCTTCTTTCTTCCTGGGAAACACCATATATCAGTTTTTGTACACCTCATTCCAGATGAGAAGAGATATCTACGATCTTCGGAAATAGCCTAAACCCTTAGGTTCTGTTCCTTTGAGGGTAATGGATAGGACTAAAAGACACAGAATGTACAGCGTATGGAAGTGAGTTCTAAGACTATTTAAATAGAAGGCTGGTACTAGGTGGAGCAGACTGTTGTTTCTCCGTCATACGGTGTGACCCCCAGTTTCTGTCAGGCATATCTGCTCATTATTTCGGAATCAAGAGAATATAGCTACAATATCACTGGTTCAAGTTCCTACAAGAATCGGCATGATGTGAAAAGAGGCCAGTGATTGGATCTAGAAATGGGGCAAGGAAGAGGCTCGTTGCCGGGGCCAACCGTCATGCGATAGGAAAGACTCAATAAATGTGGGGAAAGTTGTAATCAGAGGCGCATTAAGCACATCCTAGTGAAACTCAAAGTACAGAGAACAGAATTGACAAACGGCATGGATAATTGTAGGAACAATGCAAATATATGAAGGCGAGTAGCAATATACAAATAGTGAAACAGGAGATACATCCTACCTCTCTTCCTTCCTCTTGTTCCTTGATGACTTATTCAGTGCCTCACGTAGTGCATCTCCTCCGTCGTTTCCTCACATTTGACCCATAGCCGCGTACCGACGTAGGAGCTCATACTCCCTCTTCCCCTCCTCATCTTCGTCACAAAAGACTGTCGACGACGCTGGATAATATATGTATTCAGACCTATTGACAGTCAGATGGCATTTCTGGGTCACCAGCCAGATATGGATGTGAAGACGGATGCAGAGAAGGAAATCGTAAGGATGCAGACCCGGAGGGGAAAAGTGAAGCTGCAGTAGGATTGGAACGATTTCGATAATGCCCGCGCATATTGGAATTTACTTTTAATTTCCGTCCGCATCTGGGGAAAGAGTATCGGAATGCTGTGCGCAGTAAGCAGAAGGCGATGAAAAATAATCTTTGCATGACTCACGGGTAGCACCTGTATGCGTGTTGATATGGATCTTCGGGCTACTCGGCCTGTAAAAGAATTTGTAATGAGAAGATGACGAGGACATGCCAGGTGACAGTTATATAGTTGTGCGTTTATAAACGGTGACTAAAAGTTGGATGCAGAAGAGCTTCGGTTATACATATACTCCTTTTAATAAACCAAGCGACGCTCTTAGAGCGAACCTGAACGTCCAAGGTGCAAAATAAATGTCATCAACGCTTCGTTCATTAATAATTGGATGCCTTCCTTGGCCCAGGACGATGTACGCTCCGTGTTTTTTAATCTTTGCATACTGATAAAAAACGCCTTTGATCCAGACTCTGACTGTGCTACCAAGAGGAGGACGATATTGGCTATGCTGATTAAAGATAAAGCAGCGGTACTTCTTCGGGATGAGCAAACCACGTATGCTACGCTCCTTGGTCCTTTATTCCCACAAATACAGCTGACTGGAAACCTGCAGCGTACAACATCAGCAGGGAATTCAAACATGAAAGCCGCCCCGGTCATCTCAAGCACTTTTCTATATGAATCCGGTACGGTGTCTTACTGCTCTGTTGATTAACATGGGCACAGGTCACGATGCCCAGCGGCGAAGCTCATTTTCGACTATGCGGTGGCTGTATGCTCCCTTGGTCAACCTCTTCTGTCTGTGTACATATGTGGACTATTGAATCATGTGCGCTTTACATCCGTCTGAGGGGTTAGATCTATCAGCCATCATCTTACCACTCCCTGACGAATCTGTTTGTCCGGACCTGGTATTGACGGTATTATATCCCATTTTCCTGGAGAACCAGATAGGACTGACCCCATGTTCGAGTAGATCTGGACTGCTACATTATTTAATATATAGGGACCGAGCCTTTGTATCTCAGCTTCGCCTTGCATAGAGTTACAAACTCAAAGTGAGTTTCCTTGTTTATAATGGTCTTTGGTGAACTGCACATCCCCCTTGAATTTAACGGCCTTGTTGAGCAGGATGTACAAAACTATTGCGTCTGTAATTCTTTTTCTTTCTCTGTTGTCCAGAAAATCTGATGATGCTATGAATCTTAGATCTCTATTTCTTATGGAACTTTTATTTCTAGGTACGAAAGACTTTGTTCATATCACTTTCTTCTCCTATGAGAAAATATCTTTTCTGTATTTGTTCCCACTTCGGATGGTACATATCCGATGAGACTGTATCTATTTGATTCAGTTTGGTTTTCATCGCAGAGTTAGTATTTGTGCTCATGTTTGTATTTTCTAGTTACGTTCATGTAGACTCCCTTTGCTGAGGTATATGACGGTGGCATTCACTCATAAGCTTTTCCGGCGTCGAAGGTATGCATCATCAGTAAGGTGATAAGGTGATGAGCCTGTTCCTAATCTGTCATGTCACTCATTGATACAAGATAATTGCCAGGTGAAAATGTGCCGTGTTCAAGGTTGGAAGGTCCGTCATCGATAACATAGGAATCTGTGCCTTTCGTGAATAATCATAGTTGGAGAAGATCTTCATATTACATAAGACTCGGTCATTAACCACGGACCGGTGGAGACTCGTGTTGACATTTTGAGTCAATTTGGGCCAGCCATCTGTGGGAAGGAAACAAATGGAACATTGTTCACGCATATAGGCACAAATTTTGTTATTCTACTATGGACCTCCAACATCGAATCTAACCTCAGTGAAAGACCATGTACAAGTTTGCACCACGGGCAGGGATGTAGACGCGAACACGTCCTTGACGGGTTCGGGTGGAAGAACCGACCGATGAGGCAGACGAAGGGGACGAAGTAGAAGAGGCGCTCACGTCGGAAGAGGTGCGGTGTCTCTGAGGCCGGGGTGAACGATGAGCACGGGCATCAGTGTTCACGCGGTTGGGCCTGGCATGGGAACCAGTGTAAGGAGCGCGTGCAGAAGCCTGGTTTCTCCCATGGTTGTAAGGAACGACGGCGGTGCTGTGGTCGTTCCCCGCATTGGCGGCGGCACGATTCCTTGCGGCTACGGCAGGATCATAGGTTACCAGAGCGTTGCTCTGCTCTTGGCGAGGTGGATTGGAATTGTGGTGCTGGTGGTGTGGGGAAGAAGCCTGGACGTTTCCACCATTTGGGAGAGGATGACGGTGGGAGTCGGAAGGATGCGCATACGTATGGTTCGAGTGGTGGCTCTGTACAGGGGGGTAGGCGGGAATTCCTTGTGCAGGGGCGTATGCCGACGTGGGAGGGGGGTTGCGGTATGGCTGTGTCAAAGCAGGAGCGGTGCCGTACTGGTTCGTGGTTGGAACATGGTGGCGAGACAGCTGGCGGGGATGGGAGTGGTTCTGATACATAACTACGTCGCTGAAGGGGGAGATCGTCGGTAGCTCCTCTCTCAAGGAGAGCCATTCGACTGGCCTTTGGAAGGAACTGAATTCCTGTGGTTTGGAAGGAGGAGAGGAAATGTTTATATAGAGTTCCGACGGACCGGTTTCTGCGGTGGCCTAACAGCATGGCAGACGAAAAGCATGCACATCAAGAACGAGGCACTTGATTAGCGCCCTTGGAGGAGTGATATTCTCGTGTTTCTATGGTACCCTTCTCGTTCTCCCACGGATCCTTGACACGCTGTTTCCCTTTTCGTCGGAAAAATCACGGACTATGTGAAAACCTATCTTCAAGTCACTGCAGGATAGAAATGTTTGAACATAGCGGCAATGGTGGCTGAACAAAAAGGAAAATAGGCAAATCAATTTTACGGGCCGAAGTTCGGCAGTTTCCGTGTGCTTTTTTAGGATTGTTCCATTTTTGAGGATAGGCACTGCTGGCATTTCTTCTCCTTTGGCCAATTTCTTCCATCCCGTCACATCAATAGGTCTGTATCGTCTAGAGACTTCACTAGAACGTGCGGACAGGATTACTCACAGGAGAACTAATGTTCCGAGATGGTGGAGCCAGTTCTCAGCTCCCTTGAACCGCCTTTAAGGGCGCCATTGCTCTGCACGCTAGTACTTCCAGTATCTCTCCATCCCTCTGACCATATACATCCTCGGAATGCCCTTCGCCATGTGCATTTCCGCTTCGACATCCAGATGGAATACGAATCCTTGTATCCCTTCAACATGGCTGTCTAGGTGAATTCAAGGTCTGTTCTCTCATGTCGAAGGGCCAGGTGGCTTTGGGAAGCGCAAGCCATGGATAAACTGAAAGAAGCACTCTGGATGATCGAAGCACATCTTTCACTATGGAGCAGGACTCGATCATCGCTTGTGGCATTCGATTGCTAGGTATAATATCTCATCCGATGACCTTCCAAGCCGTACACGTATTACTCTGCTCCGCTCGATATGTTGAATTGGCCGGTCGAGCATCCATGATTTGGGACAGCAATTTTTTTACGACTTTGCCTCTGACTATGAATCCACTATCGACCTCGGTTGCTGGCGGGGTCACTTCCTCAATACGATATCCATCCTAGTGCTGCGGTTCCGCCATTGATGTATGTCGTCATTAATTGCTAAGTGTTAGGATTCGGTTACTGTCAATATCAACCACGGATTCTCGGGCCGGTGATTATTCGAAGGTGCATTGCTATTGTCCGATTCTCGTAGTTTGACCTGGGCTGTCGGACGTCATCAGTCTAGAAGCTATGAAATGAAACCGCAGGAGGTCGTCGATGTTGCCCGCTTTTGTTGTGACATCCTGTTTTGCCCTGTGTGGGACCCGTATTGGCTAGCTATTTTCTCAGCCTGCACCCATCGCGGAATTCATTATGACCTAGCTTGACTGAAGAACCAGACTGCCAGTCACCCACGACATAACCGTCTACCCAGAAGATCCGAACTATACTGTCCTTCCTTCGCCGTTGGTTCGTCGTATCTTCGGGTTTTGGGCGGTACCAAAGGATCGTACTGCTCGTCTCGAGCATTCCCTCACTATCGAGGCCACCCTGGAAGGCTGGTACACCTACAACATGCGTGTCCCACGAGTATAAGGGTCCATCTTTGTCTAGTGAACTGGTCAATTGCGCCTTGTTACCTCACAAACAGCGCAAATTTGAATGCCATGTCGAACGGAAAAGAACCGCTTCGGCAGACTTCTCTGCTTCACGTCTCGGGTGTGGTTTCGGTTCGCGGTGTGGTGGGTATTTAACTACTGGAATGACCTTTGTGCGATACCAGTTCATTCTGCGATATGTCAACCTCCCTCCGCGGCCTCTTGGGAGGTATCTCTTACTCGAGAAACTCTTCCCTTTACGGTACATTTACAGCCCGTCGACGCTCTGATTCGGGTCCTCACAATGAGGCGCCTCTCGCCGTTTCACTTTATGGATGCAGCTCAAGACAAAACAAGAGCTGTTCAGTATCCCACCCATCATCTGCTCCCCAGGCCGATCCTAATGTGTCACTTCGAAAGTATACCGAAAAGAACCACCATCATCACCACCATGAACACGATTGCAGCGACCGTCTAACTCTCAGTGGTCGTTGTAGGCTATCCTTTTTCTGTTTATCAAACGAATAACTAATTCTCTTATCACAGTGGAGCTTTATCCAATATATCTTCCGAAAAACGTATCCCAGCACTCGCATACCAATTCATCCATACCCTCATCCTCCCACAAATCCACTCCCAGCGTTTCACTCTCCGAACCTCGCCCAGTCCTAAAAAGGGCAAGTGCCGGCCAGCATACGAAAACACAGCGTGCGTCCCTTCTTACATCCGTATTCACACAACCGATTGTTGCTCCCACGATCACAGACCACGTGTCATTCGTCAACCCCAACCTCCCAGACGCCCTCCACATGCACCCCCTGCTCGCCTCGACCCACCTCAGCCATGCGCCTATATCATACGACGTGAGACTCGCCCCGTCCTCCACATCCATCGTCGACCGCCGAACCCGGACGCCCATCCCCCCCCACACGCTCTCCCAGCCCGCTACAGACCCCCCTAGCGCCAAATCGGTGCTGAGATGCGATAAGCTCCCGTGGCCGGTCATCTTCCACGCTGCATCAACAATAACGAACCTCGACCTGCTGCGTGCTGTCCACAGCGCGCTCTCGATGCAGGTGACCCAAGAGGAATGGGACGCGCTAGGGCATGGCACGCACGCCCAGCTGAAAGCGACGAGAGCTTACGAGACGCGGTGTGCTGCTGCAGGGCTTGGCACTGGAGCATGGGAGGGCGGGATCAGGAGGATCGACTGGCTGGGCGAGAAGACGTGCTTGGTCGGCATCGAGGTCGATAGGAGCTCGGTTGAGAGCGGTGTTGGGAAGTTGATCTTTGCGAGGCCTTGATCTTGCCATACTCTTAGCGCCTTTTACATGTCTGGGAAGTTTCGTATCTCTGAAATTGACACATTTGCTTCATGGGATACATAACTGGATTCAGGACGTCACTAAATATTACAGAAACAAGTACAGAGTACGTCAGATGAAGTCGTTAAATATATTTACCATCCGAGCTGCTGCCACATATCACGGTGCTCCGGAAATCGTCGACAAAACAACTTCACCCGCTGCTCCGTTCCATCTCGAAATTCATCATCAAATTGCGCAAGCGCAAACTGTCTCCAACGTTTCGAGTTTATCTTTTCCCGCGGACTCATACCCTCAACGACGATCCTCAACAACGAAACTATATCTCGCACATTTGCATCATGTTTTCTCCGAAGACGCAGCGCCACAGCTCCCATATTATCCTTCCACCCCTTGAGCTTGTGCAGCAGGAGGATAGACATGGGAACGACCGGGAATCCCTGCTTATCGATGATAGCCTCCGAAAAAATCATCGGCAACTGTAAAACCCCCGGTTGGAGAATATCGACCTTTGTTTTCTCCAACTTCCGGCCGTCCACTCCATAATCGTGGTACCATAGAACCTTCCATGTCGCTCTAGGTGATTTGGCGTCCACGAGGTAGAAGCGATCCGGGTTCTTCGCGACGAGGAATTTTTTCAGCCTTTCTAAGTCGCAGGTATGTGAAGACATTAGAATGTCGATGTCCTTACTGCTTCTTCAGTTTGTCGCAACTGAGATATAAGAGCATGACTGATCCTCTCACATTTGGTAGGCGTTTGTTTCCGTAGAGATAGCAAGCCGTACTCCCCAAGATCGCAAAAGTCCATTCCGCCTCCCTTAAGATACGAGTAACTTCTTTCGCGGCACGAAATACGACAGCCCGTGAGCCGCTCGTTGGAATCACTGGGCTGGAAGTAGACATTGGTTGGTTCGACGTCCTTATATTTATGGCTGTGCCGCCGAACGAGTCGAAGGGAACAGTCGATGATGACTGTTAAGGAAGGGTCAATTTCGGCACCTTGTGTGCCGATTGTTGAACTTCTGAAAGGGATCCGATAAGCGACTGCGCGTCGAGAAGAATAAAAAGGGGACTAAATAAGAAACGTTCAGGTCATCCTGCATACACGTCAGCAATCTTTTCGGAGTCCCCTTTCTCGAGAGCCAGACAAATTCCTAGAGCGGTTTCTACAACAAGGCAGTTCTCCTTGAGTTCCCCTTTTTCGGCTCAGCCACTGCTGGGCAGACATTCCTTAAGTAAGTAAAACAGAACCCAAAACTCCGAGTCTTTGTGGATTCGGTTTCTGACTCCTTGGCGGCATTCTTCGCTATCTTCCCCTTAACGAAGGGAAATTTGGCAATACATTTGACTCAGCAAGCGTTCCTGGGTTGCCTATTGTCTTCTGGATGACTTATGGATGAAATGACCTGGGTGTCGATCCAAAATTTCCCCGAATCCTTATTCACTCTCGCTTCGCAGAGCTAGGTTCTAGTTTGACCTCGACTCTTGGATGCTTCATTAATTTTCGACTCGTCGTCTGGGGCATCTTCATCTCATAATCTCTGGTTTGTTCAACCCTCCTATTCTGATTACAGATTTCATCTGATACTGACGTTAGAATCATCACAGTGCCAATTCCCGGGGCTTTTCGAAATTACGCTTTCAGGAATGCTGCACTTCTGACATCGGTGATCTCGTGTGCTAGCAACCCGGTCCGGAGTGCTCGGGGGTAGGACGTCGTTAATGTTCTCAGTGTCATAGATGTTGAAACTTGGAGACAAGTCATGAATAAACATCTGATTTTTTCACTCTCTTGTTGATTAGTGACATCATTAGAAGCTCTGAATTACTGTTCTAAGTATCCAGCTTCATCACCTAAATTCTCAAGTACAGTAACTACTGACAAGTGCATTGTACGGGATGCCTCTCGTCTCAATTCCGGTCAACATGCACGGTCCATCCCCATCCGCGATTCTGTGTATCAAATAAGCATTATCTCTCAACAACCTTGGTTGGTGGTCGCCTTTCAAGTCTGATAGTGACGACGCCTTAGCCTCTGAGAGGATCAATGTCGATGTGATGTAGAGGATAGCAACATCTATTTTGTCTGCATATTGTGGTAGGTCTGCTTTGTCGACTCTTCGGTTTCAATACATCTGCTCTCGAAGATATAGGCGGCTGTATTTACTGCATCTTCCGGCCTCGGATATAAACAAACATCTAGGTAACGAAAAGAGGTGCTCCCTTTTCTTCCTACAGCTAGCCTCGAAACACGCTTATGGCCCTACGTATACGTAAAGTTTGAACATCACTACCCCAAACCTTCAGTACTTACGGTAAGGTTATGGTTCTTCCATTTTCGCGCTTGATCTGAAGTACTTGCATACCCTGTATAATATCAGCTGAAAGCTCGTTCTCCAATAGAACGATACTCACATCTGCCATGCGGCTCGTCGATTCAACCACACCTCCCACGAGTCGTCCAATGGAGTCGTAGAAGAAGACGCGCGAGCCGATCTGGAGAGAGAACATCGTAGTAGAGAATGGACGATACGAAGAGAACGTACTGGGAATGCGTTCATGGTAGGATGGGTGTGTGTTTGGGGTGTCTGCGATGCAGCGATTTAAGTACGTAGGAAGCTATGTCTTTCATGGTTGCATATTAATGAAGTATGGACGTCCAGTAGTCGATGCTGCCTAGAATAACTTGGGACAATAAGCAATAAGATGAGTACATAATCCCTCGACTATCAATCCGGCATGCGCGATATGAATAGATCATCTTTTTCCGGAGATGTACGCACTGTACACGTGCTTTGATGTATTTCCAGAAACAAATGTCGAAGGGACCACTTGGAATATGGAGATGGACCAGCCACACCCATCTTGAGAGTAGAAAATCCGTCTGGTGTGCACATTGATAAACCATTCTACCGAGATCCAATCCAGTGTTGTATGTGGGTATGAACGCCACATGTAATTCCGAGCTAAAATCAAAGAACATTATTCTGAAATGCCGATGGCAAGACAGGACTCTTCAGATGGTGCGAGTCATGCTGGTATGTGATAGCGATGCCGAAAACAAAGATAATAAGCTACCGGGATCCCCGCCACACCTCGCAAGTATAAGAAACTGATGGAGGACGCATGCAACCGCGTATCCTCTATCGCTGAATAGCTTTCAGTGGGCCTGAACGACGCAGCGCAGCCCCATTCACATGACGATCTCGGGATTTTCGATGATGGAAGCGACAGTCAAACTGTATGCAGCAGGTATCAACAGGGCATTGCAGCTTCCAGTGCACTGCAAGGACATCATGGTCTGGACACAAAAGTTCATATCCGCGGTGGTGAAAATTGTTCTCCAGCTGAGGCGTATCATTCATTGATTTGTGTTACCCGAATCCGGCCCAAGGCGGAGTTAAGTGTGCATCGGAGATGAGGTAGGCGTATTTGCGAGAGTGAGTTGAGACAGGATTCCTTATTCATAAGGTTTACTTCAGGTCTTCGATGCATTCACGAAATCTGGGGTGAAGGTTGGGAAGGAAGAACTTGCAAAATTGTACCCGCGTCGATCACGTGTAGATGCTTGTTTGCTTTTTTCGCTTCACGTCTTCCCTTTTTCTACACCTTCTCACGGTTCTACGCTGTAACCACGAGGAATCATCCGGAATGTTCCTTTGTCTCATGGCAGCAATGTGTTTAATGCTAGATCCATACTTTTGATGATGCCGGTTCGTCCGCCGCCCCAGTGCCATTTTTCCCCGACATAGAGCTCGAACAGTTTCCAACAGGCAGTGCAAAAAAAATATACCGATTGTGCTTGTTGGTCTATTGCAATCGATGAGAAATTGACAATGGTATGAGTGTCATGAATCCGAAACAATGATGGTAGATAGCGTGTGTTCAACAAGCGATAGCTGACCACATGGTTATCAGGACAGGTAGCATCAAGCTGAGCTGTCAGGCTAAGTCCCATTATACAAGTAGCGCCATCAGGGAATGATTGGAATTATACTAGTCTTCAGATCAAGGTAAGGGGTAGTATACTCGTCAAGGCCAAATCCGAGCCAGAAATCACAGCTATCATCGACTGGCAGGGCGTCATAGTTGCCCCAGTCTTTCTTCAGGCGTCTATTCAACCTTTTTTTTTTTTCAATAATACCTCCTAGTTCATCAAATGTTAAATGCCAGCATCACATATTATAGGAGAAAGAGGCAGCAAAAAGTCTTCCAGCCTAACGTGAAATCGTGGTGTCATCCCCTAATTATGACGAGGCCATCACCCTTTTCGGAGCCATTCTTCGGTGCTAGGTAGACGGGGCGCTCGATCTTCAAAAACAAACTCATCTTTTTTGGACCGAAATCAGTACTGCCCCCCTGGCCGCTCGGGTTTACGCCGGAGGAGCGTGAGAAATTTGGACGGAGTGGAAAGATTTGGAGACTTATTCTAACACTTAGTTGTCATTGGAATTCAGGGGTGTTGTAATCCTGAGTTTCGATTGTTCCAAGATCGTCACTCTTTCTCATTGTCCTCGGTCGCTGGTAATACAATCCATTGAACGTAGCTTATTAATAGACGAACAAAGAAATCAGATGGAACATATAACATGGTAATTAGTGATATAAACTTTCAAAATACTCTTCATCCAAAGCACGTATGAAATAAAAAATCATTAGAATATTACTAAGGGGGGCCGAAATAAAATATCGTCACCACCCTATCCTTTCACGCATACCTTACCATCAACAATTCCGTGTTCTGGTGAACTCTCCGGAAGAGCCACCTCAATACCCATCCTAGCCACCGCGCGCGTCGCCTCCTCCGAATACGGTGGATAAAATATCTCTAGATGTGATTCCATTCTGGGGATCACTGTCAGAAAAAAAAAACACAAGACTAACGAGTAGACGATCACTCACGCCATAGGAACGTCAATCTGGGAGCGGACATAGGAGAACTCTTCCATACACGCTTTATTACTCCTCCCAGCTACCGGATTATCAGCTTACCAGTTCGCAAAGAAAAGAAAGAAAAAAAGATACATACATCCCGATTCTCCAACTCCTCCATACGGCAGCTCATACACTAGGAAGATGGAAGTTAACAATAGGGCCCGACAGCAAGATGAAGAAAAGGCCCGCACCAGCCATCTGCAAGAACGTGCAGTTAAACACAAGACTCCCGCTTCTCGTGCGTTCTCTCACTAAACAAACATAAGCCGAAACTCCCCCAAAAAAACAGCCAAAAAAGACATACATATCGCCTTGACTCCCTCATCCTCCGAAAACACATACGTCACCAACGGTGTCCCCACCCTCCTCACAACCCTAACAGCCTCCTCCCAACTCCCCACCTCCAGCACCGGCAAAACCGGCCCGAAGATCTCTTCGCCCATCAGCACGTCATCTTCCCCCACCCCCACCACCACCGTCGGCTGGATTCTCAGACTCAAAAGGTCCGCGTGACCCCCGAGGACCACACGCCCCTTGGTATGCGTGAGCAGAGACGCCAGCCGGGTGAAATGTCTGAGCGAGCCGATCCTCGAGAGGGATTCTGGATGGGCTAGCGCCCCGCCGGAGGAAGGATAAAACGAGTCGTACGCCCGCTTGAACGACTCGACGACGCGCGGAAGCACCCCGGGGTCGTCGTATGTCGGTATGACGAGGTAATCGGGGGACACACATATCTGTTGGTAGCATAATTCAGAAACGGAAACACATCCAACACAAAACCCATTGAAGGTTTACCTGTCCGGAGTTTTGGCATTTTCCAAACAAGATCCTCTTCGCCGCCAGGTCCATATTACACGTCGACTTTGGGTCTAGAAGGACCGGACATTTCCCGCCTAGTTCGAGGGTCGTGGGTGTGAGGTGCTGAGCGGCCTTGTGAGATATGGACCGAGCGATGGTTGCGTTTCCCGTGTAGAAAACTTTTTTTCATGAGCCTTTGTTTTTTGTTAATAAAGACGAAATCTGAAACTCACTGTGATCCCATCTGAGGTCCAGTAGAGCCGTTGTCTGTTCCACTCCGCCTTGGACGACCCTACAAGCTCTCTGATCCAAATACCTTCCTACAAGGTCCCCTAACGCACTCGCGCAATTTGGTGCCAATTCTGACGGTTTGAGGACCCAACAACACCCTGCTGCAAGAGCCCCGATGATAGGCATCGTAGCGAGGAAGAAGGGAAAGTTCCACGGTCTGGAGTCGGTGAATAGTCATTCAACAAGCGAGGGACTCGGAAGAAGACGAGGGGAGAGGGCTTACGAAATGATTAGTCCCACTCCTTTAGGCTCCCTCCGTATTCTGGGGTTCCAAGGGCGAAACAGATCTTCGTCGACCTCGACGTCGTGCTCTGCTGCCCATCGTGGTAGGTCCCTTGCTGCCTTGAGAGATCTGTCCACGGCGGTGTTGATCTCGGTAAAGTACGACTCGAGCGTCGGTCGTCCGAGGTCCTGGTCAAGTTAAGATTTTTTCTTGTATGCTGGTGGGAGGCAACCTACCGCATTCAAGGCGGAGGCTAGGAGTTTGTGGCCCTCCTGGAACATCCTCGCGAGCTGGAGGAGTTGGTGCTGGCGCCATGCAATGGGGAGGGTTATTCGTGAGGAGAAGGTTTCGTGCAGGGCTCGATGGGTCTGATGGGTAGGTTAGAATACGATGGTAGTTTTATGAGACGGAGCGTACTTCTTCGATAGAAGTCATGAGGAAGAGAAGACAATTGAAGCCATCAGAGTGCTGTCGTGGTGGACATTTAAGAATTACGGCAAGAAAAGAATTGTTCGCGATGGGCCTTTTTGTTCCTGTGTATTGAAAGGGTCATGAAATAGCCGACCCATGGCAATATGTACCGCCATTTGGATGAGGGAGGTTAACAAATGGGTATGAGAATTGGACGATGATAGCATACTTTTGATGGCCTAGGAAAGGAATAAGATCAAGCCTGTGAGGAGAATGGATAACATGTGCTCACACATATCCATATTCTCTCGTCTCAGCAACTCGCTTCATTATTATTGGTCAAACGAACATGGTTCGTGTTTCATCCTTTCTTCATCGGTGGATATCCAGAAGCTGAGGGCCCGATACATGTGCAACGGAGGTGCATGCCTGACCCATGGGCGGGCGAGGGTTGGCTAGGTTGATGAGCGAATTGATGTACGTCATTATATGACTATCCATCAAAACGAAACACGAGCAAAGTGATGGTAGATGTGTATACGGAAGCAGGAGATCGAGCGATAGAGAGCGGACTAGGCCGATTATAAAGAACGTCTGAGACGCCGCCATCGGTGATGCTCGGAATTTCCAGCCCAGCTAGGCACGTCAAAGACACCGAAGCAAGTCGCGACTCTTTATGCTCAATCTATCTGATGAGCGCCGCACTGGATCGCTCTTCCTCGCACATTCTATCCGCGATATGCTCCGAGCTCAAAGGCGACACTTTTATTTGGCTGAATACATTTCCGACTCTCCTCATCATTGGTGAGATGTGTTTTCATCACCTAGACGGCCTCGAATGACTAATGTGCCAAGGTCAACAGGAATCAACCAGCACCTCACGCCTGTAACCAGCACTCTTCTCACAAGATGGACGAAGAGATAATGAAGGTGTCATGGGAGGAATTCCACCTCTGCCTTGTGGAACTGCACACATGGAATCACTGCTGGGGCCGGTAGTTTTTTCGCACGGGTATAATAAATGTTGTGACTTTTCTGGACATTTTTGTATTAGTAGAACAGATTCCATAAAATTAAAAGGAAAAGTACCTCTTTTTGGTTTTGATTTAGGACAAGTAGATGAACACATTTTTGGGATGTTTTCTCGATCGGAAGAGGGAAAAGAAGGACCATAAATTTTGTTAAAAAAGAAATCCTTTTTCATTCTATCCTCTTTATGTAAAAACTGAAGGTTTACAGGTAAGGAAAAGGAAATCAGGACTTCCTCAACATGACTTCTTTTTCATTACCTTTTCCTTACCTGTAAACCTCCAGCTTTTACATAAAGAGGATAGAATGAAAAAGGATTTCTTTTTTAACAAAATTTATGGTCCTTCTTTTCCCTCTTCCGATCGAGAAAACATCCCAAAAATGTGTTCATCTACTTGTCCTAAATCAAAACCAAAAAGAGGTACTTTTCCTTTTAATTTTATGGAATCTGTTCTACTAATACAAAAATGTCCAGAAAAGTCACAACATTTATTATACCCGTGCGAAAAAACTACTGGCTCCAGCGATGCATCATGCCCGCCGGAGCTGATATACCCATGCTATCTACGGATCCTCTCCCCCCAGGAAACTATGGCTGGTATTTCCCTGGTCAATCCTCTATGATCACGTGGAATGTTTGATTGTTCTTATTTACCGCGTCAGACATGCTTTTTCGTTCTTCCTACCTTACTCCGACGTTCATCAATGCCATGCTGCTATGCTCTACCACAGGGTTTGCCTACCACTCCTCTCGACCGTCGTTCGCTCGATGTTAGATATCGTTATGGTACGCGTGTCGCTGACAAGGACGTGGCCGGAGCCAATCTTGAAATGCTTGGAAGGTATGGAAGGGGATTGTTTGTCCATGGCAGCCTGAGATAACGCCCTTCGAAGGATAATGATGTCAGTGCGGGCAATCTTATATCCGAGACAGACGCTGATTGAGCCTTCTTTTATCAGCCTAACATGCGACGCCTTGTTTATAGGCGACTGTTAATTCTAGTCGGGAGAGTCATAGGTGCAGTCTGTGTCACTATGTAGATGATAACGTGCGTTGTAGCCATGGCGTCGAGATGCGGATTGACTTGCTTATGCTTAGATAGCTGAGAGCTCAGACGTCGTTCGTCTTCTTCGTCTTACGTCGGTACGTCAATGGTGCTGGATGCAGGTCGAGGCTTCGGTCATAGATCATTGTGGATTGCTATTACGGTATTGGAGGTGTGCTCGCTCATTTTCCTTCGAGCCCCAGACGGGACTGACTACGTTTGAGTAGTTCCGAGCGCGTCGCCGTGTCATTCATATCCCTTAAGCGCAAGAACGGATTTATTCATTGATGTACGGAGCTATATCTATAGGTCGGGCCTTTGTCACCAGGCTTCGCCTTGCTTAGTGTCATGCTTTCAAAGTGGGTTTCTTTCTTAAGAAAGGCCTCTGATGAATCGCACATTCCCCTTGCATTTGACGGCCCCGTTGAGCTGGATGGGCGAAGCTGCTGCGTCCGTAATTCTTTTTCTTCCTGAGATTCATTCTGTTCTCGGCCGTTTCAGCGACGCTAACGACGTTATTCCTAGATCCCTGCTTGTTACTTATGGCTTCTTTTTAAGGTGCGGGACGCTTCATTTTCCTTTCTTATGATGCTACATCTTCTATATTTCCTACTTCAGAGGGTTCATCGCGTTGGGATGGACGTACCATTGGACCCAGTCCAGAGTGGGGTGCGGAGGGGAATGGTTACAGTCTGGACCGGTGTTTTCGTGGAAGGATGTCGGAGGTCGCCTACACATTAAGCTGTTCGCCGGCTAGTTCAATTGGTTAGGGTGTCGTGCTTATATTAACATGATCTTGGGGTTCGTTCCCCAAGTTGGGCGTTGTAGAAATATTCTTTGGTAATTTTTTTGAATTCCGCTCCTGGAATAAGGTTGCACATGAAACCTGGGGGAGGGGGAGGGGGAAAGTTATGGTTTTATATATGACTGATGTACCTCTGGCTAAGGGTTGATAATACTATTCGATTGTTCCTTGCCGATGTGGCTGAATTTACACTCTTCTTACGATGCAACGCAATGGGCTATTCTTACGAGGAATATAAAATGGAAAATCTAATGATCTAAACACCACGGATTATGATACTTTATAAAACGAGAGATAAAATGTTTGACCTAGGATATGAGCACCGTCGCTACCCGAACGTCCTTCTCCCCAAGGCTTCCATTATCACTTCCACGATGCTGAGAAAGATGCCCAGACTTCCGCCCACCTGTCGTCGAGCCTATGATATCCCCATCCCCTGCGACGTCCCGCTCGAGCCCAACATAATCATATGAAAACTCGCACATATCATGCTCGTCCAGCCCACTCACCTCCGCCTCTTCCGACCCCCGTAACCGACATCCCGGGATAAAGTGCATGATCCACAGTATGATAGTAGTCATCACAAAAGTATACGCTACCCCAGTGACGCTATCAGCAAGCTGGTATCCCAACTGGATGTAATGATGGTCGATCCACCCTCCATCTATGACGGTGATACCATCGAATCCGGCTATGGACGCTTGGGCGAAGAAGGCCGTGAGGACGTTCCCGAGGACACCTCCGATACCGTGAGATGCCCAGATATCCAGAGTGTCGTCGTACCCGAACATATACTTGAGTTGGGTCCCAAAGTTGCAGCAGGTACCAGCCATGACGCCGACCAGAACGGCCGCCGCTTTACCAGGAACGTTAGAAATGGAGAAAGGAAGGGTAAGAATGTAAGAGGGGGGGACACGCACGCGCTCCGACGAACCCGCAAGCAGGGGTGATAGCAACCAAACTTGCAATAGCACCAGAACAGAACCCAATAGCTGACCACTTCTTCTCGAGACGATAATCCCAGAACATCCACGTCAACCCGCCCATGCTGGGGGCCAAATTCGTCACGATGCACGCATGAGCAGCTCTGAGGTTGGCGCTGAGCGCGCTGCCGCCATTGAACCCGAACCATCCGAACCACAGAAAGACGACTAGGTAGGTTTATCATCAGAACTCTGCATTAAAAAAAGCAAAAAGGGGAACTCAGAACCTCCGAGAACGACATACGTCGTATTATGCGGCTTGTACATGAGCCTCTCCGTTCCCCAATCCTTCCTCTTTCCAAGATACAAGCTCATAGCGAGCGCAGCTGTGCCAGATGTGATATGTACCGGGGTTCCCCCGCGAAATCGAGTCCACCCAGAACGAACGACCACCCATTTGCGGACCACGTCCAGCATGCCACGGGGTCGTACACGAGCGTCGACCACATGAAGACGAACAATGGGCCGGGGGCTAGGCGCCCACGTTCTGCTAGCGCGCCAAGGGCGATTATGGGCGTTGCTGCGGCGAACATGAGCTGGTAGAGGCAGAAGACGAGGGCGGGGAGTCGGGCGTTGCCCATCGACGGCGTGTCCAGGACGCCTTTCAAGCCAAAGTACTCTGGAAAGAGGGGGTGAGAGGGAAAGGGGGTGCTGATGATATTTCGGACGTACTGAGGTTGCCGATGTAGGTACTTCCGGTTTCACTAAAGGCGAGCGAGTAGCCCCAGAAGAACCACTGGTTGGGCGTCAGCGAGATCCGGGTATGAACATGTGGAAAACGTACTTGGAAAGATACGACTGCAAGACAGACGAGACTCAAGTAAATTTGACTGAGCGCATTCTTTCGCCTGAGTAATCCCGAATAGAAGTATCCAAGGCCGGGGATCATCAGCCAGACAAGCGCCGTGGCGGTGAGCGTCCATGCTATGTCGCCGTTGTTGTATACGGACACGACACCATCAGCATCGGTCGCGGTAATAGTTCCTGTTGTAAACAAGATCAGCTAGGATATAAAACGGAGAAGGAGAACAAACAAGCGTCGTAGGTGATATTCACCATTGCAGCGAAGTGAAGAAAAGGAGAGAAATTGATAGAGAATGTAGTGAGATGAGAGATAAAAGTGGTCCCTGTGATCGAGAAAGCTTGTTTATCGCAGACTAGCTTGGCATACCCAGGGTGAAACGCGTGGAACGCGAAGATAACAGGGTCGTGATCTCGTACCGGGTCTCTGGCTTCTTTGGGTAAAAGATTAACGGGGTAGCTGTGTCGATGTAAACTCAGAAAAGCATAGCAAGTGGCGAGCGTCTTCTTCAACAGGGATGAGAAACGTCCGCTACGATGCAGAAGAATAGGGCTAAACCATGCGCCTATAATTTTACGATAGATAAGGTTGCCATCTACTCTTGTCTTCCGCTGAGGATAATTCTATTGATCAACAGCCCCGGCGGACTGCTTATGGGGTGGCTGCTGGAGGTGTATGGGCATTGATATGTTGATGTTCAACCCTTTCTATACATGTTGATTTTTTTACTCCGCAAAGTTCTGTAGGCGAGATTGCCCAAGAAACTTAAATACTCCTGCAACTTCGAGGGGACCATTTTGCGGAGTGGTATGATGGCATGCAAGATTCTCTTGCAAACTTAGGAGGTATATCAACTTGGTCGTTGGAAGAACAAAATCTGCAGAGTACCAATGGCCTTGTTCTATTTTTACTACCTTGGTACGAGTGCTAACACTGTTACATGATAGGGTACTTATTTGGGAAAGACCGATGCATCTGAATGCCGGTCATGCAGTATCTTCACTTATACTATGGTATGAAGAGACAAGGTATCTCTCAAGATGAACTCCTGTGGAGGTCTCCTTTCCAGCCATATGCTGCCTTGCTCAGTTGCTCTGCATTCTGCATTATCCTGATCACCAGAGGTTATGCTGTCTTCATCCACATGCTTATATCCCTGATTTACAACAGGTTATGGTTCCTAATAAATATGCTGACCACTGAACTACTGATTGACTGACAACCTGACTGAATCCTGACTCTTTTGTTGTCCATCTACTGTTAGGCTCAAGCTGCACATGATCTTAAACATGTGATAAACTAACATGACTTCATGTTTGAGTCTTCTGCTAGAGTTCACTGATGTGCTTCTGTGATTGAAGTCTTCAAGGAATTAAGAAGATAGCTCAAGAGTAGGATGAGTATGAATAAACTTTAGCTTGAAGCTGGGTTTATACCAGCAAGAGTGAGCCTCTTCATATACTGTACATTGTAGAGCTAAATATAAGACTATCTATTGTACATTTCCAAGTCCTTGTATCCATTGTCCTTGGGAGTTGCTACTGTATGCAAAGGTTGATTGTGTGTCATTGAGGGCTGGTCACTGCATTGGAGAACAATGACAGATTGGCTTGTTATGATGACTAAGCCTCTCCCACAGTTCTAGGCACTTGGTTTAGGCACCCTGACTAAGTATAAATAGGAGTTAATCTTGTGAGAAAGGAATAAAAGTGGAAAAATCATAACATTACCCCCTCCTTAAGACCATCATTCTGATGGCTTAATTCAGGGATAATTCATACTTGTGTATTGCTTTGGCAGCATCCATCCATTTTTCATTTACCCACTGGTTAGATTCAGAGCTATAACCCTTCCAACTGACCAGGTAATCTATGGTCATTGTTATGCCACCTCCTTTGGTCTTGACTTTTTGGGGTTTATGATGTAAAATTTGATTGATTTCATAGTGCTCTTCATTATTGATCAGGTCTGGCAGGGGAGACAGTGGCTATTCTTGATTAGGGAACACAGGCATGATATACAGTGTGAGCAGTGTTTCATTGAATACATTGTGGATCTTTCAGTGGGCAGGTAGGCATAGTTTATATTCCAAATGGCTGATCTTTGTGAGTATGGGAAATGGGCCTGTCCATTTGTTGGCTAGTTTCTGTTTTGGCTGAGGGAGATAAAGGTTTGTTGTGTCCAACCAAACTTTATTGTTGGCATTGTAGGTGTGCACTGCACATCAGTGAGTGTTGTACTGTTTCTTCATTATGGATGCCACTTTTTCAAGGGTGGTGCATGTTTCATCATGTATTTTGAACATAGTGGTGGCAAAATCAGAAGAGACCAGTGTGATAGTATGAGAACATGTTGTTTGGGTCATGTTGGAATGATGACCATAGTTGACAAAGAACAGTGACTTGCCTGTTGCAGAGTGGACATGGTTGTTATGTTGGAAAGCTGCAAGAGCTAACCACTTGACTCAGTCATCTTGCCAATAATTGATGAAGAGTCATAAGTACTTTTTGACTTCTTGGTTGATCCTTTCAGTCTGCCCATCAGTTTGTGGATGGTATGTAGTGGATGCATTCTAGCAGACATTAGGGAGTTTATATAAGTCATCTAGGAATTTGGACATGAATTGTGGTCCTCAGTCAGAGGTGACCATCTAGAGCATACCATACTTTGCATAAACTTTGTCCCACAGGATTTTTGCCCACCCTTTGGATGTTAGTTCTGTTGAACATGTGATTGAGATAATCACTGTTGAGAAGTGATCAATAATGATGATGATCATGTCATAACCATTACAGTCTGACAGCTCCATGATTATATCTACTGAGATGTGGGTCCAAGATGATTGAGGCATTTCATTGGGGTGGAGTGGTGCTGCATGTGCCTGTGTTGTAGATTTTCCCTGCTGGCAGGTCTTACATCCCTTCACATACTGTTCAATGTCTTGCCCCATATTTGGCCACCAGTATTCCTGTAAGACTAATTCCTTAGTCTTTGTGATTCCCAGGTGTCTTCTGGTTATGTGGTTATAGTATGTGGTGATAATCTTGCCACATAGTCCTTGATCCCAGGAAATATAGATCCACTCATCATAGTAGATCATCCCTCTCTTCTTTATCATGCCTCATTCATGGTTCAGAGACAGAGCCACTCATTGGTCCCATTTGCTACTGTCTCTGGTCACACTCTTGATCTGTTCATGGATTTCTTCCTCTGTCAGCATAATCATAGCCCTGAAATGTTTGGGCCTTAATAGCATTACTCCTTTGTTATCTGTTCCTCTCTGATTGTGATCTGCTCCTCAGCTGAGGAGGTCTGCTTTCTTGTTGGCAGTTCTGGTCTTGTGATGAAGCATATACTGGTACTGGCTCAGCTCTATCACCCACTAAGCCTGTCATTGATTAAGTTTTTGTGGCTGTCAGAAGTATCAAAGGTTTTGGTGATCAGTCCATACTTTGAATGCTTGTTTGGCACCAATGAGATAGTGTCACCATTCTTCTAGGGTGAGCATTATTGCAAGCAATTCTTTGTTGTAGATTTCATGGTTTTGCTCAGTCATTATTAAGGCTTTTGATAGAAACAATACTGGTCACCATTTTCCATCCTGTTCTTGGGATAACACAGCACTGATAGCCCCCTCACTTGAGTCTGCCTTGACTCAGAACTTGCCATCCTGGATGGGATGGTGAGTACTACATCTTCTGCCAGTTGTCATTTTAGGTCATTGAAGGCAACCTGTTGCAATTGTCCCCAACTCCAAGGGGTGTTTCTAGTTAATTGCATCATTGGGCAGACTATCTTGCTATAGTCTCAAATGAACCAGCAGTAGAAGTTTGTGAACCCAAGGAAGGATTGGAGTTTCTTCTTCTTTGTTGGCTCCAGCCATTCTACTATGCTTGCAACTTTGATGGGATCCATGCAGATACTCCCCTCACTGATGATCACTCCAAGGTATTTGGTTTCTAATACCTCGAACTCGCATTTCTCTGCTTTCAGGAACAGCTTGTGTTTCCTCATTAGGGCTAGTACCTGTTGTACTAATTCTTGATGTTTCTCCTTTATTTTTGATATGATGAGAATATCATCTAGGTAGATGGTTACTTTTCCAGTGGTGATGAGGTCTCTGAAGATGTCATTCATCATCTATTGGAAAGTGGCTGGTGAGTTCATGAGCCTAAAGAACATGACTGTCAGCTTGAAAAGCCTGTGGTTCATCCTGAAAGCAGCCTTCTATTCATCACCTTCTTTGATGTGCATATTGTTATATCCCCAGCAGATGTCAAGTTTGGTATAGTACTTGGCTCCCCAGAGTTTGTCCATCAGTTCCAAGATCAGGGGAAGAGAATAATAATTTTTAATCATCATTTCATTCAGCTTCTGGTAATCCTGAACTGGTCAAAGTTTGCCATCCTTCTTTTTGATGAAGAAGAATGGGAAAGCTATTGGGGACTTTGATGGCCAGATGCATCCACTGGAAAGGTTTTTATCCAGGAACTCGTCAAGCTCCTGCTGTTCCTGGTTACTGAGTGGGTATGTCTTGCAGTCCAGATTGGCATTGGCATTAGAGATCAGTTTGATCACATGATTCCATAGTTTTAGTTTAGGGAGTTCATTGAAACTCTCTTTCTCAAAAAGGTCCTTGAAGTTCTGTGCCCATTCCAGCACCATCTCTTTGAATGTCTTCTCTTCCTTTCCTGCATTGGCCTTCACTGCCAGATCATTGGCATGATGCATGGCCCATATATGTAAAGCCTGCTGGATGTCAATGGCAAGGATAGTTTTGCTATCCTCTATTTCTTCATCCCACCAATCCTCAGGGTCTTTATCAGGTAATTCAAAGGGGATTTTTTGGCACTTGCAGCATGTGAATGTGATCTTCCTGGTCTTCCAGTTGATCAGAGGATTATGGTGGATCAACCAGTCATGGCCAAGGAATACCTCCTTCATTCTGAGGTCAGTGACCACTAGATCAATTCGCTCACAGTGATCTCCAATGGTGAGTCACAGTTCAATGAACTCAGTTATCAATCCAGCTTGGTTATTCATTCCATCTGCATTATAAACTGGGATTGGAGCAATGGTAGCTCTTGTCAGCAGTTGGTGCTTAGTGATGAAAGCATGGGTAATTGAGCTACTAGTGCATCTGCTATTGATTAATATGGTCATCACATGCATAGAGTGGTTCATAAGGGTTTTGATCTGGGCTTTGACCATTAGGTCTCATTCCATTGATATACAGGCTACATGACCAGCCCTATAA